CTATTGGCACTAAATCTCACATCTTCTCCAGTCAATGGAGAAGTAAAGAGCAACTACCTTAAATTACATGTTGAGAAACGTGAAGTGCTTCAACTTGCCTAAAACGATGTGGGGGGGGGGTAAGTGTAAAATTTCAAAATAAAAAAGAAAAAAGAAAACCATTGAAGACAATTGCACTTCAGGAATTCCTCAATACTCTGGAGGCAGAGGTAGGATGGTAAGTTCAAGGCCAGCCTAAGCTACACAGTGAGATCCAGTCTCACCCCCCACCCCCACCCCCCAAAATTGTAGAGATTAATTTAATCAGATGCTGTTAAAAAGTCAATACTCTTTAGCACTATTCTTACACGTTTGAGTCTTTAAAAATGTTTGAAAAGTATATGAAAAATGCACATAACATACATAAAATTCTACATGTAAAGTCAGAAGTCTCCAACCTTTCTGAGACCATAAAAGGAGCCATGGACGTTGGGTTACAAAGCCCTTGTTTTAACAAAATCTGTCTGTGTGTGTGTCTGTGTGTGTGCTTGCATGTTACAAAGCACAGATTATAGTATCGGTAGGGGATGTAGCCATTTTCTTTTATTTGAGCACAGTAAACACTTAGAAGAGTCAAAGGACATTCTAACAAATGCTGTGAACTAGGTTCTGAATGCATGCCCAATCCGTGGTAGTGATCTTTCCCTCTGGCATGTTAGGTAACTGGATCAGGCTAAATTATTCGGAATTAGTATTCCGACTAGATCTTCAGGATGGCAAGCCTCCTGACTCAGACAAGTCTGTGCAAAGGAAAGGGAGCTTTTGCAAAGATATGTGATATCCTCCAGCCCACAGCAGATCAGCCAGGCTTTATTAACCCTGACAAAAACTTAACAGTAAGGATTTTTAAGTGAGAGGCACTTAGACTGCAGACTTTACAGTAGGTGGGTAAAGGGGCCAAAAGCTGTCGTTCACAGAAACATCCCAATGAACCCTTTCTTTAACCATAAAACCCCAGGAGAGGGGTAGGTAGCAAGGCAGCTGCCAGCAAAGCTGATCAGAAGAGCTACACTAGTATCGCTGTGTTCTAAGCTCCTGGCGTTTGATGATTACAAATAAACTGTATTTTAGAAATGAAAGTCACTGATGTTGAAGTGCGAATGTTCACAAGGTGCCTAGCATAGAAGGACTCACAGCAAGTGAGGATGGGCTGCAGACACATTCCTAAAGCCACCTGTGGCTTCTCCTCTTGGCCCTGTTCCATTTGCTTGAGGAAGACACTTCGATTTAAAATTTTTCTGCACCACTTTCGGGAAAAGGAGGGCAGTGGGCCTTCCCTGGCACTCCTTGCTGAGTCAAGGACAGGCAGCGACAGGCTTGGGCCAGAGGAGGCTCTCTGCCGTCTCTCCTGTTCTAGGAGCCACAGATGAAATCAGAACCTGGCAAACACTGAAGGGAGAGCTTACAGGCTAGACAATGTATTATTCAATTTTTTAAAAGTGGAAAACTTCCTTAAATTCTGCATATTTATTTTCCCTAGCTTCCCCCGAATATGATTTTTTTTTTTTTTTGCTTTAAGGGTCAGCATAAATTCCACACTGTGATTGAAGACATTTTTATTCAGACAATAAAGAGGAAGAGAGTTGATTAAAGCAATCAGTGTTTAATCTTCAGGTGGCCCAGTTTTAACCTGTATGTGGTTTGAAAAGGAGCCACCATATATAATAAAAACTTTGGGTTAAAGTTAGTAAAAAAGTTACTTTCTTGGAAGTGATTTTAGCATATGATAGGAATGCATACTTATGTGGTAAAATACAAAAGCATCTCAGATAAAGAGTGTTTGGAACAGTGGTTTTCCTTTGGGCAAAAAAAGAGGACTGAGCAGTGGCTGAGTCGGGGCTCCCACTGTAACTATGTAGTAGGTCAGAGAGAGACAAAGAAAGAGACAGAGACATAAAGACAGACAAACAGCAAATAGGCAAAACATTACTATCTATTAAATTTACATTTTGGTACCTGGTATTTGTTATATAAAATTTTACAACTTGTATGCTTAAAATATTTTGAAATATGAAGTAACTGGTTTAAAAGAGACTACACCCACCCGGAGCTACCGAAGACAGCAGAAGGAATGCTTCAATCTGAAGAAAATGTTAACGACACCTGAGAGGACACAGGAACCAGTAATCCCAGAGAAATTAATCAAAAGAGAGAGAGGAAATAAGAAGAATGTGAAGACTTGTACAGCATATCCTAGAGAGCAAAAGAGCTTCTTCTTTCTCAACTACATGAAAGGAACATGCACATGGCACAGTGGCCTAAGTTCTAGAAAAGGTGGGTACCACGGTGGGGTGAGGGGAGCTGCATCCAAGTATCTACCATAGAGTACATAGCATGGAAATGCTTCCAATAGGAAATGCTGGGTTTGGGGAGATTCCTAGAGTTAGCTTGCAAGTCAACTTGATGCCTGGGACAGTCAACAAGAAGACACCCAAACAAGATACAAGTTTACAAGCTTCATAAAGTATAGCTTGGTTTCTGCAGCCTTAAGTCATGACCAGATCCCAAAGCTTTTAAGAGACCTCAGACCTTCACTACCATATTCACAGCATATCAACCACTAACCTTGCAGGGTGGCTCTCTAGGGACAGCTGAGAGGGGTGCTGGAAGAGGCAGGACAGGGAAAGAGGGCCTAAGTCCAGAGAGGCGGAGGCTGTCAGTGAGGGTGAAAGAAAGGTGAGCCTGGAGACACATACTTCCTGCAGGTCACGGTGTTGCATGTGCTCTCTCAGGAAGTGCATGAACTCCACCTCTGGGATGAACTATGGGTAGATATGCAGTAATTCCATGATACCACTGGAAGCATCTTTCTACAGACACTCTCATCTTTCATGTGTGCTGGACCACAGAATTCTAGTGCCACAGAAGGAAAGAGTACATGTATAGAACACAACGCACATTTTGTTTTGTTTGGTAGAAGGCCAACACAGAAAAAACTACTTTTTCTCCTAACATCAGTTCTTAAGTAGTTATGATCAGTACCAGTGCTGACAAGTCATGATCGATGACCCTGTTGCAGATAAGGACACAAAACTGCACAAAATATATGTACAGGACACACACAGGTAGAATATTCTAGATCTGACCCCTGATGACTTCTGCCCCCGTTTCTTCTTTGCTGCTCAAAATTCTCATCCTCCCTGTCTTGATTTGCCACAGTCCTTCATGTCTTGTTCCTAAGCTCCTGGCTCCTGGCACCTCAGCTGCACACTATGTGCAGGGCTGGTGAGCTACAGGAGAAAGAAGTCCTGACCCTTTGAAGAGGGCCAGCTAACCTAAGCCTCAGTTCCTCCATGTTAATAAATGTTACAAGAGGTAACAGATGGGAAACACGTGGTCCATCAGTGATGTGGAATAAACTATTGTCTTTGCTGCTGTTCTGCCCTGCATTCTTCACCTAGCCTCTGAAGGACTGGAAGCCACAGACTGTCCTGAGGGGAATTTTAGGTGTGCAGTCAATTACACTCGGCAGACATAGAAAGCAGGTAAACCATTGTCCTCCTAGGTGTGTGCCTGTTTCCAAAGGAGACTGGAAAATATACTGGACTGGTGGAAGACCTACCCTCAGTGTGGGCAGAACTATCTAGCTCTGTCTAACTAGTCAGCTGGAAGTCCTGCTAGACCAGAGAATCCTCTCCTCCTCTCCTTCCTCCTCCTACTGCCCCACATTGATGTGAGGGAAGGCACTCTTCCTTTCCTGCCCCCTCTAGGGCATCAGCACTCCAGGCTTTCTTACATTAGCATTGCCCCTCCCAAAACTGACTCACAAGAACCCAGGCCAGGAGTTGAGTTTCACTGGAAAGATAAAGAAGGTATGGCTCTTTTGTCTTAACAGAGTTCAGGAACCTGGAAGGCCTGAGCCTGGAAGTAACATGAAAAGGGGGACAAGCAACCTAGGAGGCAAAACCGAAGATAATGTCCCCAGTGACAGAACTTCACCGAGGGCAAGAGCTCCTGCCTTCACAAACCAGAGGCTGAGTGCTGTAACTTTTACTGCTGTTAACACATAGTCTAAGCCTGAATTACTGAATAAATAAAAACCTGCAAATCACTCGCAAGTTTTTAACTGTTTCCTTGCCAATTCACTGTGAGTCTCTGAAACACAACACTGGATTAGGGAAATAAAAACTTGGAACTAGAGAAAGATAGTCTCAATTAAACCAACAATGCAAAAGCTAAAGACAGTGAAGCTGTACTCAACACCCCCACCTCCCTCTGCCCTCCATGGTACAGAATTCATTCTGAGTGGCTGCACACGGTTCTTGTCAGACTCTCTACGGAGTACTTAAGCATATTTCCTCATTCAAAGTCTAAAACACCTTATAAAGTACATGCTAGTGGTATTTATGTATTTATATGCTTGGCCAGTTAGATAAGCCTGTTCAGCCCATCACTTGGGTCTGAATTTATGATCTTGAATAATACAATCCACAGCTGACACATTCTGCCAAGTATCTTCTCATGAAATCTCAATAAACCCAGTATTTGGAATTTATCTCAAAGAAATTTTTTATTTCCTTGGTTTTCTTAAGAGTCAAGGGTCTCACCTAGCCCAGGCTGATCTCAAACTTGCTATGTAGCTGAGGTTAGCTTTGGATGCCTGATACTCCAGTTCCTACCCTCTTGAGTCTCAAGGACTACAGGTGTGTACTATGAAACCTGGCTCAAAGTTTTACTAAAACATCAGAGAATATTTAAAAGAGAATATGATTAAAAGCCAGCTTTAAGATCACTGGAGAGGTAGTAATTTTTTCTTAGCTGATGTTGGAACTATCTCAATTAAATGGAGATGTTAATGGTGTTTGATGATTTGTCATTTCCATGAGATGAATTTCTATTTAAAAAAATTATAATAACCATGTAAACACTCCTGCGTGGGGACAAAGGAACATCCTATTCACATTCATTTGAAGCATTTGGTTTTGCTCCTGGGCAGTGAGAGCAGTAGACTTCAAACTTACTTTGACCTGAGGATAGGACTTCTTATTCTTCTCACTAGAGGCGCCTGGAAGCCCTCCGTGTGATGGGCCTTCACACACATAGCGGAATCGAAATCCCCTCTGCAGAGGTGAACACAAGCGGTAATTACTGAAACAACAGTGACAGGCTTACATACAAGTCTCTAAACATGCAAAATTGTGAAAGACAACTCTGCAGATGACATAACAGCTATCATGAAAATGATGCTAGCCGGTATTTGTGCACTGAGCTGTGGCAGAGAAGCCGGGCGCACCTGCCTTCAGCATAGGAATGATGACGAGTTTAAGCCTTTGGACACAGGGGCTACAGTTTGTTTCAGCTGGAGCCTCTGATTACCAGTTGCTGCTGCCAAGCTCCCCACTCGCCATCGGTAAAAGTTATGCTAATTATTTAAAGGAGTTCCCTTATCTGCTCTGATCACAGACCAAAGAGGTGTCTTTTTTAATTAATTATTTTATTTATTTCCATTTCCCTCCCTCAAAGTTCCTCACCCAATTCCCCGCCCTCACCTCTGAGAGGGTGCTGTTCCTCTCAGGGTATGCCCCTTCCCTTGGGGCCTCAAGTCTCTGAAAGACTATGTGCATCTTCTTCCACTGAGGCCAGACTAAGATGTGTCTTTTAAAATAAAGTCCATTAATGTTACGGACATGTCCTATGCTACAACACTGTGAATCTAACAGTCTTCTCAGCACCTCAAAGAATAAGATCGTTAATTTTGTAAAAATTAATGTAATTGGGATCCAGTCTGGTTAATGCTTGAACTCAATCACCCCCAAACTAGACAACAGTATGTGTAACAGCAGGCTCCCCAAATGGGCTACCTGTAAGGACGGGAATCTACTTAACTGACTTAACTGAGAAAATTCAAACACACCTTTAGTGTATAACTAACACACATCTTTTCTACAGTGCTTGTGAGGATTTAGATGGAGCTGTGACTCTGGGGTCAGCCTGGGCTACATGGTGAGACCCCGCCTCCAAACAAAACAAGATACAACATGCACAACACAACACAACAACTCGAATAGACAGTTAACACTGAGAGATGTGCCATGGAACTGGACAGTCTAAAGATATGTAATCTACCCTTTGGTTCATTTCCACCATCCGTGTCCAAAGGGTCTCCAAGAAAGAGAACATTTCTAACTCAAAAACTTAACATTTTATATGGTTCCGTATCTTTAATCACAAAATTTCTTCGTAGCATTGGAAAAATATGTACCTGTTCACTTTCATACCTTATGGAGAGTGATGTCTAACACTGTAACCAACATGATTTATTGTATGGCACGACACTATGTATTATTCTTGGTTGAATATGAATATTGAATGTTCTATACAAAGCAGCATTTATTCTGAAGATGTAAATTTGTATTGGTCTGTTAGGTTGGTGAGATGCTGTTGAGCTGGGCGTGGTGGCTCACACCTGTCATCTTAATGCTTGGAAAGGGGAGATAGGAAAACTGCCACCAGTTTGACGTTTGACGTCAGCAATAACTACAGATATTTTTGTCTCAGAAATAAATTAATTTTAAAAATTAAATAACAACCAAAAATTAGGTAGTCTTAAAATGCATGCTCTGGACACATTTCTAATTCTAGTATTTTGAAATTAAATGTTCACTATCTACCCCTATTCATCTCAGGAACTCTGTTTACTTAATATGAGTCATTAATCTCAGAGAGGCTCCATACATCCACTCAAAAAGCCTGACTTACTTTCCCTAAAGCCAGATACCAAAATAAAATCAGACTGGCAAACACACGTGATGTTTTCCACACATAAGATTTTATATGTTCACATATAATGGATTAAATTTTGAATTCTGGAACTATACTAGCTGTTCTAATACATCATAAATACCTATGACTTTGGGGTTCATGATAATAAACTGCACATTAAAAATCTTATCATAGAGCTATGCTTAGAAAAATAAGGTTCCGGGGCTGGCAACATTGTTCAGTGAGTCAGACTGATCCCCAGGACCCACATAGTAGGAGGGCACTCACTCCCAAAGTTGTCACCCAACCTCCATAGACATGCTTGTACATACACACACACACACACACACACACACACACACACACACACACACGGAGGGGAAAAGAAAGAAAGAGAGTGCACACATTAAAAAATAAATCAATGTGATTTTAATATTTTAAAAAGATGGCTACTAGAGAGATGTCTCAGCAGAGTACTCAGTAGTTAAGAGTACTGTCTGCTCTCCCTAAGGAACTGGAATCAATTCCCAGCACCCACACGGTCGCTCACAACTGTCTGTAATTCCAATTGCAAGGGACCTGTACCCTCACACCAACGCACATAAAATAAAATTAAATAAGTTATTTAATTGTTTTTAAAGGACCTGAAACATCTTTTGATGTGTAGGTACATTTTGGACTCATCGGTTTTATGAATTAACCAAATCTTACAGGCTAGGGTATTTTCCAGGATTCCAGATTACTGGGCAGAATCTCACAGAATGCAACTCTACCTGGAAGAGCTCTGAGAAGAGTGACTTTATGTGAGAAATCATCTTTACAAAGATGGACACAGAAAGAGCAAGGGCAGGTGTTATCAGCAGCCTGGGGCAGGGTGTGTGTGTGTGTGTGTGTGTGTGTGTGTGTTGGGGGGCCGGAGGCCGCCTATAAGCAACCTGAACAATGCCTCAAAGCAAAACAAGTTCCACATGGCATTCCTGTCTTTACAGTAAACATTTCCATCTGATTTCAGCTTTACAAACTAGCGATGACATCCCTAAGATGTTTCTACTATTTACAGCTGACCACATCAGAGTTAGTTCTACAGCATAGCACTATGTGCTCTCAGCATTTCACTTCTTAGCATTAAGTGGTATAAACCACAATGTGTTAACCTACTCTCCTGAGTTACAAGAAAGAACAGCCCAGAAAAGGCATTGGGTGACATAACTTGGTAGGCCAGGTATACAGTCCTTCAGCGCTACACGGATGTGAGGAGCATATCCACTCAGAGATCTAGTGACTTGGTTCTCATTCTGGCAGGCTATACCATATCTTCCATCCCATAATAACTGAAATGTTCTATTGGCAGATATTGAAGACTCTTTTACAGTATTAGAGTCACACAGCTTCTAACATGTGTATTTGTAGATTGGGGACCATTTCAATCTAGAGCTAGCGCGCACAATATCTAGTAGAAAGTGAAAGAGCAGACAAAAACAAAACAAAAAAGTCCTCTCTTGCTCCTAGAAGGCTGTGATCAAAAAGCCAGCAGGGGTGGGGAGGGATCCCATAGTCCATTCTAATTCCTCCCAGTGTGTTTACTGCCTTAAGCTGCACACTCTATGCACAGACAAGGCCAGAGCTTACAAAGGCAGGAGGAGCACCCTGTGGGCATGGACATGAGCAATAGAGACACAGAGTAGCTGTGGACCTTTGTGTGAGCATTTCCTTATGGATGATGAGAATCACCAGTGCTTTCCCTGGAAGCGGCTGATAAGCTAAGCTGGAAGAGAGACAGACTATCAAGGACTTATAATCAACTGATGTTTCAAGGCCATTTGAAGAATGCCTAAGAAAAATGTAAAGTAGACACAGGAAGTTATTGCATAACTCGACAGGCTGTTGATCATTCAGATAAAACACCCACCTCTGTCATCAGATTTAACTACTATCACTCAGAGCCTGAGCCTTAACATTAGATGTAACACTACCAAACACCCAACCCCTTTATTCTTACCTGTTTTGGTTGCTCTAATATTTGAAGGTATGGGCCATCTGTTAAAAACAAATACAACGTAAGAAAACCAAAAGAAACTGTGAGACTTCTGGAATCTAGTATGAAATACAAAGTAAGCCAAATGCTGAAATTATGTTTTAAACAGAGATTTCAAATCAATTTTATCGATGAAATTCTACTGATATGTGTTCTCATTTGAAATATTATATATATATATATATATATATATATATATATATATATATATATAT